GTTTTTCCTATGCGTTTAGTATTTGATGATTATTTGAGTGATAACAAACTCAAAAAGAAATCTCGCAGACACGAATAGTGCTTGAAATTTCGCGCTCTACAAAACCCATATACTTCCATCGAGATCCAAGACAGTCATGTATATGGTGGTACAGATCCCATGGAATCACCCAGCTGTTAAACTCGAGTGTGTGGAACTCTTGAAGAAAATGTTTTTAAGTCCACACCTTCCGCACCCTCATAGCCTCTCGAGGTATTGTGTGATTTTCGTGCAAAGTCTGCTGTAATTTTCTGCTCAGGTGGATGGAACCATATCACTTGAAATAAATCGAAGCGTATTTCACGGTGAACTGGAAGCACTCGCTTGCTTCTGATCGAAAATTGAAAGGCTCAACAAATGTCTCATTGGTATGTAGTCAGTCTTTGTAGTGAGGGAGTATCTCCTGTTCCGATTGGTGCACTGACCTCCTAGTAGAGACGGTGTTGTTTCAACTCATGGATAAAACTGTTTTTTTCTCTGGTGTAGACTATATCAGTAAAAATAGGAAGCAATCCAAGTCTTATCGCCAGAGAGAATTGATCATTTCGGATTCTCTTGATGTATGACAGCTCACTGTCTATTCGAACAGGCTTTTCGCTTGCCCAATTGAATAATTTTATAGACGCAAAAAGGAGTTTATTTTGAGAAGAAAAATGAATTCAATATTAAAGAAAAAGAGTTTCTCGTCCAAGTCAATTAGACCTCTTGAATGTATGATGCCATGCCGACAATCTTCGGTAAGCCCGTGGTGTTTCTTTCCGGTCTGCGAAAGACTCCATTAGCTACAGCCTTGCCCACACCGTCCAATCGATAGGCACGAATAACTTGGGGGTGAAGACCGATGACATAGAGATGATCGATACCGGCGATGTTGGCAATAGCTATGTCCTGCCCACCGGTATTTTTCGGAAAACGATAATACCTAACGATCTTTGCTCGTGTAGAAGTGGGTGTGATGTCGACGCTCAATTCGACAATAGCTGCTGGAAATGCTGCGACCACGTAATAATTGCCAGTAGTTGGAGAAAATATCGACCAACACAACATTCCTGTTATTTTTGGATCGATTGGTGTGAATGAGTTTCTACTAATCGAACCATCTTCGGATGAATACTTCAAGGTGAGGACAACGTTCGCTATTATATCCGTGACCAATAGGCCATTGGACTTGACGAGCACCATTGAGAAGGGACCAACAGCATGGGGAAGTGTTTGTTGGATCGGTGTTGATGCTAGTTGAGTGAAGTCTTCATTGAATGGATAGAACAGAAGAGAGCCTTTGATTGTCGCATTGTAACCGTCCACTGTAATAATCAGAGCACGATTGTCGGCAGAGAATTGAATTTGATTTAGTTGTCCGGGAATAACGACCGGAGGAACAATTTGGGGAACGTATGGTGTCAGATCGCGATCAAAGGATGGAATGATCGACAATCCTGAGGAATTGTACGAAAAACAACGGATAGCAGCCATCGGACTAACGGCAAGAGCACAGACATGCTGCTCATTGACCGTCATGGAGACCGGAAACGCGCCGTAGGTTGGTTGCACAGATACCAAGGTTAACTTCGTGGCATCGGATGGATTGATCGTGAACATCGACACGGAGTTCGAACCGGCATTGATGGCAAATAAGTAATTCGAACGGACAACCAGCGAACCTTGAGAAGCCAATGGATCAAATATTGTGGTATTCAAACCAACTCCTCCCGTATTCACCGTTCGAATCCATCGCAAGTGACCTTTCGGATTGATTCGGTAGACAAGAATTCCATTGTTCACCGCTCCATTGGTCATTGTGTACACTGCACCCACACCATGTGTCGGCGTCCGATCACTTTGAACAGTGGCCACAAGAAGAAGACCAATGCTAACGACGAGGAAGATCATTTTTGCTGAGAATCGATCACAACGCATCTAGAAAAACATCGAGAATAGACATCGACGAGAAATGTGCTTCTCTCTGCAAAGAAACATGGGGCTAATGTCGATCAAAAGTTATCTGCAGACGAACAGTTCTCACGATGGTCTAGTCTGTGGATGTTATCCCTATCATGAGCGAGACCGCTAAATGGTCTTCGTAAATACGGCATCGACGAGACTACACTCGCTGAAGTCCACGGTGCAAGACTAAAAGCGATTAAAGCAAATGGGTACGAATCCGAAGATCGAAGGCAATGGTGCGGATCGTAGAAGCAATAAACTGATAGTGTGAATATGCAAGTTTAGCCTGGCTATCTATACTGGTGAGTCTGAGTGGGAAGAGAAAAAGGAGAGGCCACCTGTCTCTTTTGTTCGAGAAACCATCGAAGCATACAACTGTTTCGCCTTCGAAAAGGTAAGAGAGTGCCGATTTCAGCTAGAGGCCCCTCTATACTGTGTATTGCGCACAAAAATCGAGGAGAGTTGGTATTCATCAAAACACAGGTGTTAAAGCGTGCGCTCTACTTTATTCACGGGCTAGCGAAAATTTAGCTAACGATGTGGCTGTCACTCACCCTTTTGTTGATTGAAGTTTGCATAGAAGAGAAAAGAATCAGTAACGCTTGACTGACGGCAGACTGTGATCCCTTGCATGCAGCGATCAGTCGCTCTCCCCACCAGGTTATTGAATACGAAACTCGGTTATTAATAGAATTTGTTTGCTTGTATACGAGGAAACATCGATCGATCACGAAGGCAGAGTGCGGTGCACCTCATGACCAATCCGATCGTGACAGGGCTGCACTATCTGGCTTATGCCAGTTGATCTATTCTCTTGCTTCTCGATTACCGGACCTGACTGCGAGATTGTTCTGTAGTTGGAACATTGAGAGAGATCTCCTTTCTTTGGTATCGGTACCAGAATAGATTTGGTCCATTCTTCTGGGATCGTACCTTCGTGCCAGGCTTTGTTGCAGAGCTCATAGATTTGGCGTGCTAGTGGTTCTCCACCAGCTTGAAGCATCTCTCCCGTGATTCCATCGGAGCCCGGGCTTTTATTTCTCTTGAGTGCGTCTATTGCTCTTTGAACCTCTGCGTACAAGATGTCCTGCGGATCCTCTTCGTTGAGAGGTGTGATCTTCTCGAGTTCCGTTACCATATCATCTCCTCCTCCGTGATCCTTATAGAGATTGCTACAATATTGCGTCCATCTCTGCTTGATCTCGTCTTTGGACTGGAGGATTGTGCCCTCTGCATTTCGTATTACGCTGATTCGCGGCACGAATACGTTTTTCAGTGTTTTTATAAGACTATATGCCTGTTTAGTGTTTCCAATCTGGAGACCCTTATCGGCGTCTTCGCACTGATTCTGTATCCAGTTTTCTTTGTCCTGCCTGGCTGATTTCTTGACTTTTCTGCACATCTCTTTGTGTAGTAGTGCCTGTTCGGCGGAGATATTCTTCACCAATCTAAGCTTTCGCTTTTCGTCTGCTAGTTTCAGTGTCTCTTCTGAAATTCAGTGCTTCCTGGCGGTTCTTCTAGCAGGTATCGTTGCCTCTGCGGCGTTTTTGATGGCCTTGCCTATCTCTGAGGCATGTTTCTCAAGGTCTCCCGTAGGTTCGATAGTTCTTATATTTCTTACTAGCGTAGAGCTGTACGACTGCCTCGTTTTCTCGTCTCTCAGCCGGTTCACATCAACCTTGCAGCCGTGCAGCGGTTTATTGTACAGTTTCTTGAGACGCAGCTTGATGTTGCACAGCACTAAGGAGTGATCTGAGCTTATGTCTGCGCTCTGAAATGTACGGCAGTTGATGACCGATGTCTTCCATCTCTGTTGGATGAGAATCAAGTCGATCATGTTCCTATGAATGCCGTCTGGTGATGCCCACGTCCACTTTCGATTCGGTTTTTGGTCGAACCGTGTGTTACAGATGTACAGACCGTTTGCCGTTGCAAACTCTAGGAGGCGTTCTCCTCGCTCGTTTCTGTCGCCGTATCTGTACTTTCCCATAGCGCATTTCCAATCTGTATTATCATCACCGACTTTAGCATTCCAATCGCCAGTTAGAATGATAACGTCGTGTTTTCCTGTCTTTGCGAGTGTGTCCTCGATATCGCTGTAGAATGCTTCGATGTCTTCGTCCGAGGATGCCGAGGTTCGAGCGTACACGTGTATTACAGTGATGTTGAATGGCACTGCCTCAAATCTCGCTGAAATGATCCTCGAACTGACTGGATTGTATCCTGTTAATGCCCTTTTGGCTTTTGCACTTAGCAGGAAGCCTACACCCCTCATGTGTAGCTTCTCTTCGCCGGACCAGATGAAATCTCCGTCTGATGTTTCGCCTTTCCCAGTCCATCGCACTTCTGAAATTCCAATGATGTCATACCTGAAACGTCTCATTTCATTTCTGAGCAGTTCTAGTTTTCCGGCAGCCCATAGGGTCTGCACGTTCCATGTTCCGACTGTCAGAGTGTCTTTGACCAGTTTCAGTCTCTGTGTGTTTCCTGTCATATTCGTGTTCGGATGTTTTCCAGTAGCCGATTTTTCGACTCTGCCCTGGTTACTCGGCAGAGGACGCGGACCTTGTTGACCCGGGCGACGTCCGAGCCGGTATGGATTCGTATGATTGTCGTTCATGGTTGGGTTCTGTCGTCTTCTTGTTTTACAGGCGACGGTATCTGCACCCCTTCCGCCAAACACTACTCCTTTATCCGGACTTGTGACCGGAACGGAGATCGCATGGTTGAAATCTCTATGGCGGAGTCTCCCGCGGATCATATTCCATGAAACCAATCACTTGAGACGAGATAAAGGCAAACAGTTATTGATCTTGCGCATGAACCAACCCTCTTGCACTCCACAAATCTCTGATTGCGCTTAGATTTCGATGTCGCACTTGACAAAGAAGAATCGCCAAAAAAGTGCTAAAAAGAGAATCTGTTGATACTGACTAATGATGACCAATACGCAAGACTGAAGCGCGTCGTAAGGTAGCTTGGAATAATCTTGAAAACTCACCCACAACCCTCAAGATTAGCATAAGAATCGCCGAACGGACAGATTGCCAATTACACTCTTCACCGAAATAAGAATCGCCAAATTTCGGCGACGGGCATGTTTACCGTGCCACATTATAATATAAACACCATTAAATTTTACTCAGTTTTAGTGTTTTCAAAGATTTAACGAGTAACAACAAGGAACAGAAATTTTTTATTACTTTTAATTGGAGTTAACATTACTGTCGTCCGGTGTGCTCACAGTAACGATAATTCAGTGCACAATATAGATAGTTTCTCATTGTACTTAGACAATTCGGTATGCCAACACCAGGCGAATTCAAGAGACCAAACTTACCACGAAGGCACATTCTGAAATCGCCAAAAGTCGAGGTAAGAATTGATGATCACAAAAATTACTTTGTCTCTGCGAAACCTTTGACGGTTCTTAAATGCTCTGTCATCTTAGAGTGAGAAAGAAACGTCATGTTTTCAGATTTTCAATAGTATTTCATATGTTGAACTCTTTCAAAGCGATATATTCAGCTAAAATTAACTTCTATGTAGTACAAGTGTCCAAAGAGAACTTAACAAACTTCCATTCCGATCATTTTTTAATATTTAGGGTGAGGGTGACGGGTGAGGGTGTAGGTGTGAGAGTCCCCTATCCACCAACATTCATACGCACACCCACACCTAAAACCAAACCGATATCCGTGCCCAGATCCACACCCTGAATGTTGGTGGGAAAGGGAGAACGACACTTACCCCCACCCTCACAATGTTAGCAACAATTACTTTCATGCTTCACACGATTTTTTTCTAAAAGTGATGCGTGGTAATTTACGACTCATCGTCGAAGGGGACAAAGCTCTCAAGTTTAACGATCCAAGAACGACGGAGCACCAGTCTCCTTTTGAACCTTTACCGGATTAATATTCTCACTGAACTAGAGCCGATACACCAGCTTGGTTCCAATTGGTACCGGGCGCTGAGTCCCGTTCTCTTCTTATCGATGGCACTGTTGCTAACACTTTGGTGGGCTAACAGCCAACATCAGAGCTGCGCAGTGGCGAACTCACGAAACAAGATCGAGCGAGGGTGTACTAGGTGAAATATCTTTAAAAGAGCCTCGAACCAAAGGCAAATAAATTTTTGAGCCGGAATAGCAGTTTGGAAACGAGAAGCATGCACCATTTCACCTTCAGATGGATGAGACACTGGAATTGTGCTTTTTGGTATTAGCTTTGAAACTGAAAAATTATAGAGTCCTATTTTGATTTAGCCGACAGATGCACGACCTGTTAGTGCCGATCTTCAAACCTCCGAACGCAAACCCGGTGCAAAAAGTAACAAGTTTGAACAGGGGTCAGTTGTGGAAGCAGAATCAAACTAAGAGTTTGTTTCTCTGAAGTGAAACATACCTCCACAAATAAACTTTTTCTTATAGAGCAGCCTCGGCAGGTGCAAGTTCCAAAAGCGTGCTGTATTGTATTGGTGCACTTTCGCTCCTTGCAATGATCGTATGTGTAAGCCTAGCCATTGCACTTGGTGTTGTTGTTGGGGACATTAATAAAAAAAACTCAAATTCAGAAGGTATGTTGTAAAAACATGATGGCATTTTAAGGATACCCCCCCCCTCTTTTTTTCGATTTTCAGATCTTGAAAACGGTAAGTCCGATCGAGCTGAAATTTTTATCACAGATAGGTTACCTGAAAAGACGAGACACGTTTTCGAGGAAAAAATTTGGTAAGACGTTTTTCATAATTTTTTTAGAAAATTTGGTTTTTCATAGGTTCTCATCTTGCCACCGTACAAGGTCGTCCAAAACTGTCCGATTCCCCTGAAAAATTTTCTGGAGATAGCTACGGTTCTATCTCAGAGGTAGTTTTAAGCTTTTGCAAAAATCTCACTTTCTTTATTTTTAATTAAAAGAATACGTAAAGGTTTTTGCGAGAACCATGTATTTGATATTCAAAACCCTATAGATCGGAATGAAAAAGTCAGAAATCATAACGGCCGATTCTACCTCTGGAGGTTACTTCAAAGTATCTGTGGTAAAAATGTCAGCTCGATCGGACGAAGTTCGAGGGATGTTTTACTTGGCACAATTCGACAGTATGCTTGAAAAACCGGTTTTGAGTAAAACGAGAAATAAGCTTGACCAATATATTTTTTCACCAAGAAAAGTTGAAAGTTTGGTTTCCAAGGATTTTATGGACAGTCTTTCATGGAGAATCTGATGAGCATATTTAAAAAAATTTCCGCGAAACTGAAAATTTTGACGATTTTCTGAAAAACAGATTTCTCGTAAAATTGAAAGAAATTTAACGGTAAGTCCGATTGAACTCATTCAAACGGGGATGGAATTTTCATCACCCAGTCTATCTTCGGGGTACATAAACAAAAGTAAGATTTTTAGAAAAATTTGGACCAAAAAGAAGGGGGGGTACCCTTAATACCTTCACCAAATCTTAGCAACAGTGTAGTTGAACAAAGAAAAAGTGTTCGTTTTGAGAGTTGATAAAAACGATACATCAGAGCAACAGTAGTGAAATCCTCTCCCTTGTGCAGCCTTACTTGCCCACCCATAAGCGTGACTCAGCACTTTTATTTGATTCAAACATCTCTCGCACAATCAAAAATAATTTGAACAAAACTAACCGAGCAAACTCTGTTGCAAAACCGAAAGAAAAAAGTGTTTTTTTCTAGCCATTGTTGCTATATTGTCTCTTTAGACTCTGATTTTGATGATTCTTTATTTCTTGCATTGCAGCAACTACGATAACGACCAATGCAGGATTAAGTAATGGTTCAGGCTCAGCATCAGCATCGACAACGATATCCGGCACGACATTGAATACAAGTACTGCGACGAATATCTGTAAGAGTTTTCGTAACAGTTTTTAAATGTAGAATCAAAGAAGTATAGACAAATCAAAGTTGAGGGTCAGTTTTACGTTTTAGTACCCCCACAGAATAGAACCCCAGTCCCAAGGTTGTAACTTTCTAGACATATAAGAAGCCCACCTGTGAGGATCTCTCGCCTCTGATCTGTATATCCACTCGATGGAACAACAACTAGCGAAATCACACTCAACACAGAGAAAACCACGAGTATATATAGGAGAGAGGCGGAAGAGAGATCATGAACACAAAGAGAGATCCTGAATACAAAGATAGTACTAACACATGGAAGGATCTCGAACCAGCGAAGAGAAAGTGAGTGAGATAGATCCTGAACACAAAGATAGTACGAACACCTGGAACAGGAGAGAGTGAGAGAGAGTGAGTGAAGTGAGAAGGAAGGAACGTGAAGAGAAGATGACAGGCTGTAGAGGGCGCAGCTATATGGCCTAACCAGAGGGCAGGTCATAACACCACCCTGTCCAAAATGAGCACGCAGTAATGTAAGGGAAGCTAGCGACAGATTCGAGTTTTTCTCAGAACGATCCGCCCAATCAACTGTGCCAACTATGAACTGTTGTGTGCCAGATAGAGTTCAATGAGCTCTATCGAATGATATATTTAGAGTTTACGACAACATAAAAAATCATTAAATATTGATAAAAATATTATTTTTTACCATAGCGAAAAATAAAAAAATAAAAAATTCCGTAAAAATATTCGATTCACAATCCGTGCCACTTGCGAAATTTACATAATTCGATGCAGTTCGACGCGCTTTATCTTACTTTGCGGTGCAACACATGATTTAAGTTTGTTCGACTGATTGATTGTTCACCACGAAAGATGCCTTAGCGAACGTCAGAAACACACTGTCAGAATCTTTCAAAGAGACCCCTACAGGGTCGAAAGTGTGGAGCTCTAAAATGTTATATAGGAGGACACTTTCTATCTGTTTCATCACTTGAGTTGATTTTTCTGTCTATCCAAACTATAAAATTCCGAATAGGGTTTAAAAAATTTAGCTGTGCGACCTATCAGACGTCCTTTTACTATCTGTTATCAGGAGTGTAGGTGCGTGGTATGAAGTTTCTCACCATAGTGCTCCTAATTTTCAACCTTGGACCTATAGCGATTTGTGGAAAGGACGTGTCGATCGCCTGGTCAAATAGAGAAAGAAATTTGTTCTTTTCTGATCATGTGCGATTCTTGTGTAACGCCAAAAAATCTGTTCATCTTATGCGAATCGTGTAGGTGGAATTCAATGGAATGCAACAAGCCAGAGGGTACAATATAATGTTGGCTATGGGTTATATATTGATCGAAACGACCGCTTGTACATTTGCGATTTTCCTAACGATCACATTCAGCGTTTTTCTCCACCATCCTACACATCTCCAGGGACCACTGTTGCTGGTAATGGAACATTTGCGTCGACACCGGGTACGCTCAATGCTCCATCTTGTGTCTATGTGGACAATTCTTCCAACATGTACATTGCTGATGCAAACAATTATCGCATTCAACTTTGGTTAGCTGGTGCAAGTAGTGGGACCACGATTGCAGGTACAGGCGTCTATGGTTCAACAGCCAGCTCCTTCGGTGATATTTACGGCATGTTTGTCGATACGACAAATAGGCAGATCTATGTAGCTGATTATAGAAATAATCGGATGATGATTTGGCCCTTTTTTGGTAATGCAAGCACTTTTATCATTACAGGCATCAATCAGATTATGGATGTTCAAGTGGACGCCGCTGGGTACGTGTACACCGCGAGCAACACTGCAGGTGTGGGTAGTGTGTTAAGATATCCGCCTAATTCTACGACTGGTGGTATTGTAGTCGCTTCGGGTTTCACATTTACGGAAGGAATTCGGCTTGATTTCTATGGTAATTTGTACGTTCTCAATTCCGGAAATGGAAGCATTCAAATGTTTTGCGCTAGTTCGATGCCGAGCTCGCATGGAGTTGTTGTTGCCAGCGGTCTGAGCTATCCAGTCGATATTACTTTTGACTCGAACATGAATTTATTTGTTCTGGATTTAACTGCTGGTTGGGTGGTAAAATTTGCCAAACTGTGAGCACATAAGCCGTTCAAATAGGCAATTTAACTATTAAAAGTGACATATTTGATATTTGGCAAATAAAACGTTTTTAAAATAAAGAATCCCGCCGGATAACCGCGTAAATCTGGCTCCCTATCTCTAATATATATCAAATGAAAGAGCATATGTGAATACACATTTCTGCATATTTCGTTTGGAGCGTGAGCATGCACTGTAAAAAAAAGGGTAGCAATAAAAACCGCTACCGTTCCAGAAATCGGCCAAATACCCCGAAAACGTTTATGAGAGTGTCTAAAACGTTTTTTCCGTTTTTGCGGAGAAAGATTTATTGTCCCAAGGGTTTTGAACGACGAAAAAGGTTTTCGAGTACCAAATTTAGGGTTTTTCAGATTTTTTCAGATGATAGTCTGGATTTTTGTGTTCCTATGTGTGAGTAAACTGTTTATTGTTATTCACCACGTACATTTTCTTCCACTGTGCTGGATATTTTGACCGATGAGGTTTTTGTTTTCTTGATGAGGGTTTCTCCATTATTTGTTAAGAGAGGTCACAAGCAAATTCTTCTTGCCTTTATCAATCCTTTCGTCAGATCTAAACGGTTGAGAGATAATAAATGCATCGAGCTGACATGTCATTTTGACAAGAATAGGACTTCATCGTAGATCCACATGAGGACTGACATGTCAAGCGATTTCAGAGCGAACTATACATTGAGAAAGATCTTCGACGTTCTCTTTCTAATGCCTCATTACAGAATCACTTATATCTATATTATAGAGGTATGCGTCAGTTGATTCGATACCACCACATCACTGACGCGAATTTATGCATCCCTTGCCATCCTTTTCTCCTTCGGGTTCAAAAAATGATCATTCAATCACTATGTGAGTGTAAGACTCTCCTCGTCTCTCGTCAATTTGTTCGGCCCTTCGTTTTAGTTCAACACTGGTAACTTCGAATCTCTCTTCATCGTCCAAGTGAATCTTTGTCTCTTTACTTTGGTTTTGACGTCGACCATTCCTTATACATGCTTCAATCAGATGATAAATTCAAACATTATTCATGCTGTATACGATGGATTCAGAAGTACCCACAATTCCAAAACAATCTACTCAACTCTTTCGATCGAGTGAAATTCTTGCATCAAAGTTCATTCTCACGTCTAGTTTCTATTGAATCCATGCTTCATTGTACACGGAATATTCGACTCCCAAATGCGATTCCAATGAAGATTTGAATCTTCTCACCAACGTTTGGCAGTTTGAATCAACTGTTGAGTCAAACTTCATTTCTCAATGAGGGATGGTGAGCTTAAAGTTCTATTTGACTTTGTTTCAAGCCTTTTCTACTTTCTAGTGCGTTTCCGATGCTGGCGAATACTTGAACATTCCGTGGGATGGTGAGTTCATATATTGCTGATGAATGTTATCCGAATATTCTTCTTATTTTTAGTTTCATATCGATACTAACATCATCTTCGTTTTCCAGCAACATGATGGCTGGTCAATTCAAAGCTCCTCCAGACTCTGCTCGAGAGCTTCAGTTTTACTTTGTTTTCATTTCATCATTGTTTCTCAGACCACGACTCGACGAGATAGTAAGTTCTTTTCACACTTGCAAATATCAAAATCTTCGCTCTCTTTCTAGTTTCATTTCAATTCTGAAGAAACTTCATCACTCAGTCAGATGGTAAATTAAAGTATGTCCAAGGTCGAGTTGATTTTCGATTGTCTTTGCAGTTCTATCATCAAAAGGATCAAAACTTCAGACTCCAATCAAATGATAAGATGATACTTTTTTGATGGCATTGAATCCGTTTTTCTCGTCTTAGTAATTAGGATTCGGCTTTTGATAAGAGCATCGTCACCCAATGACTTGATAAGTTACGATGTGTTTTCAGATACAATCCTTTGTCGCGATTCACTTGGCGAAGCCGAATACGTAAGTCATTCAAATCATGATCGATGACTTTGTTTCTTCTTCTCTAGATCAGATCACCTATGTTCTTGATGAATAGCAACTTGGAGGAAAAGGATTAAGACTCAATTACAACTACAATTATGATGATGTGATTGATATGCGTGACATGGAGTCAGATGAATGCATTGTGAAGTTTCATCGGATGAGTTCTGTGGCGAAAGCAAAAATAAAATTGACAAGTTAGCAAATAGATGGCAAATACTCTGCTTACACTGGACGAGATAGATCCTGATAAAGAGGTGAAGAAACAACGACAAGTAGTGAGATTGCACGAGAGCTCCGAAAGCGAGAAAAACGGTGATATAAACCGTAGTAGAAACGTTTTGAGATGAGACAGGAAAGGTATAAACAGCCGTATTTTAGAGGATATTTGTCGGTTTCAAAAACGATGATACCATTTATTATTAGTGGGAGATTCTTAAACCGTTTTTTTCATGTTTTAATCGACCTTTATTTTTTACAGTGTAGTTGATTGCTGGATTGTCTGCTATGTGCAAATGCGAATAGGGCTGTCGGAGTTCCGTCAGTTTCAATACTAACTCGGCATGTCCAAGCGTGACGGAATCACATTTTGATCTCTTTCTCTATCGGCAGATCAATCAAATCGCGCTGAATTGCGCTAGTTTTTCTAACAATTCGCTTCTATGCGAGAACCCCTACACCTTTTAATGAGTCCCCAGTCGCTCGTGATGGTAATTCATCGTCAAATCCTCTAAATACATATTCGTTGCGGAATCAGCTAAAATGGAACTCACGCTTAAGTAGCGTTGAAAGAACTGAAAAACTCAGCTTAACTAAAAGAGTTTCAGAGGCACCTCTAATGAGAAAGTTGTAGCTTAGATCCGCAGCTACACGTTAGAAAAGAAAGAATTTCTATTAAGTGGAAATCGAATCAACACGAAGAAAATCTCTTCGTGACGGAATCACTGTTTCGTCACGGAATCAGCTTTTTCAAAGGGCCACTTTTGTAACGTCTGGGATTCATTCTAGAGAAGCTGAAGTGGCTGTCTTTTGTCACCAGTTTATACTCTACTCGTGTCACTACAAACATGAAGACTCAGTGTCAGGAAAGCATTCTCATTTCCGTGACGGATCGGTACTCAGATTTCGTAAAAATGACTGGTTTTTAGCGGTTTTTAGCGGTTTTTGCTCTTTTTCAAGCGATGTATGTCGTCTACAACAGTTTCTACCGGTAAAAATGGAGGAATCAGATCAAAGTGAGTAGTTGTTCATGTTTTCAGACTGGATCAATGTCATAGTGTTCTTCTTCTGGTTGAGCTCGCTCTCTGAACTATGCCCACCAGGGTGGACCGTTACGTGGACAAGCCGAACTACTTCTGTATTTGCAAAAATTGAATGGAACGTAGTTCTCGACAACGGATGATGAGCTTAGAATTTTTGGCGTTATGTAATCACCTATGAGTGATACTACGCTCGATTCAATTTTACGAAAATAAAAAGTAGTTATTCTTGAAAATAACGGAACTCCGACCGCCCTAAATGCGAATGAGCAGAGAGAATCGGGTGTTAATGTTAGAATGCAACGTACTGAGAAACAAATAAAGACTGGAACTGTTTAATCCTTCTTTCGCTTTTCTTCAATAAAGAAGAGAGAAATAACACAGGCGGTGTCCGTTTTCAATGATCTTTCGGAACGAGCAGAGCGTGCTGAATCCTTCCCTCTCTATCAACGGAATAGTCTCCTCTTTTAGAGAGCGCAAGCGAAACGCCTTTACCACAATTAGAATCAGTCAACATTCTACCTTCGTCGGCGGTCGAACCGCTTGAATCTTCGGAAAGACAGAAAACTAAAAAAACATCGTTGAGTTCTATGTCGAACTATTGCCTCTCAAACAAGCTTTTCCAACAGTGATGTTCCTCCTCTCTATTGCTCTCACCATTCCCATCTCTTCGACAACTTGTCAAAGAGCGTTCAGTAAAATGAAATTGATAACAACGAAGACCCGTAACAGTATGTCGGATTCACGAGTGAGCGAATTTTGTGCTTTGTCGATTGAGCTTGATTTCGATATTGACTTTGAGAAAGTGACAGCTAGTTTTTCTGAAAAACATGAAAATTATCGGATTTTGTTGAAATAGAACGATGACTGTTGTCTATCTTTTTCATGTCAGAAAAGAAATGCTAACTATGGTTCGAAATCTTCCATCAAAATGATACCATTTCACCTCAATCGACAACATTGAAATCGTTGTACCCTTGTCGGACTTTTCAAAAAATTTAGTGCTGAGCACCCCCACCGATAAATTCCTGGTTACGCCACTAGCAATATCTCCGCCAAAGTACACTATTTTTCAAGCTGCTTACGCAGATCTACGTCAAACACTTGCCTCTACATCATCCATAGTAAATGAAGCGAATCGAAAGACCTTGATTGAGCAAGGTAGGTCGTGGCTTACGTGCAATGGCTCATATAGAGACTCGCAAAGCCGACTAGGCGGTTCTGTGAAAGAGAAGCAATCAGATAATTTTCACGGATATGTCGAAAGATTTTATCCGCAGTGAAATGGTTGATGTATTTCGAGAAAAATGTGTTGACTAAATACCGACTTCGCTTGCTTCCACAAGATAGATGGCGCCATCGTCTATGTTCTTCAGTGAGCTATAGGCTAAGCATATCGTGTTCAAATCTTCTTGTTTTAAATCCATCTTCGAGGAAAATATATAGCTGCACTGATAAAGCTCACTACATTCAGCAAAAAGAAATATATAGACATACCGTTCATAACAGCCCGTATGCTGATTTCGTTACGGTGCTGTTTACGGCTCTTCATCTTTCGCCACGTAAAACGCTCTGTAATCTATCAGAAACTATTCCGTTATCGGTCACCAGTATACCAAAGTAAATGGTTGCCGGTGAAGAGACCGTTTTTTATCCGTTGATGGGCGTTTACGGGCCGTCCTCATCGACCTGGGTGGAAGCGAATCAACTTAGTTAGTTTGATATCACAAAACGTCTACTATTGTGCTTGGGCTGCGCTACTACGAAAAAGCTTATCGGTAACAGCTCAACTTCGCAAACATTGCATTCCACATCCCTGTTCGCTAGTCCAGATCAACTATGAACATAATTACACGCTTTGTGAGCAATGTCAGAACATAAGCTGAATGACGGAAAGCATTCACCGAAAGTGACACCATTCAATAAATAACTGAATTCTGCATTCCGAACAATTGACTGGAGAAGTAGCACAGGCCCTGGAGCGAATATCAGCAAGAAAAGGGCAAACTCGCTGTGACCTTCCTTGACTATCCGAAGAGCACGTCTGTTGGTTATTGTCATCTGAAATGAACTGTATTTATTGCTAGCTCTTCGCTGAAAACGATCTGTTACGAGACGGTCCAATCCCTCTCTATACTCTTTCGAACAACATCCATCAATATATTGACCATATGCTATTTATTTGGTTGATAGTTTTTTCTTCACCGCATCAATCGACTCACGAACCATGCACATATGAGGATGATTAGCTGGAAGAGTTTGCTTCCATATGCCCAGTGCTGTTTCGTATGAAGACAGCGCTTTAGAGCACTCTCCCGTGTGGAGATACAAATTTCCGATGTCGTTATAGGAAGTGGCCAGATCAGGATGATTTGCTGGAAGGGTTTTCTTTCGCATGTCCAGTGCTGTTTCGTAAGAGGACAGCGCTTTCGAGTACTCTCCCATGTGGTCATACACATTGCCGATATAACCGTAGCAAGTGGCCACATCGGGATGATTAGCTGGAAGAGTTTTCTTGTACATATCCAGTGCTGTTTCGTGAGAGCACAGCGCTTTCGAGTACTCTCCCATATGATCATACACCAAGCCGATATAACCGTAGCAAGTGGCCACATCAGGATGATTAGCTGGAAGAGTTTTTTTATATATGCCCAGTGCTGTTTCCAATGAGGACAGCGCTTTCGAATACTCTCCCATCTGGTCACACACAATGCCGATGTTACCATAGGAACAGGCCAAATCAGGATGATTAGCTGGACGAGATTTCTTCCGTATGTTCAATCCTGTTTCGTATGAGGACAGCGCTTTCGAGTACTCTCCCATGTGGTAATACACATGGCTGATGTTGTTGTAGGAAAGGGCCAGATCAGGATGATTAGCTGGAAGACTTTTCTTCTCCATGTCCAGTGCTGTTTCGTATGAGGACAGCGCTTTCGAGTACTCTCCCATCTGGTCACACACGAAGGCGATATTTTTGTAAGAAGTGGCCAGATCAGGATGATTAGCCGGAAGAGTTTTCTCCCGCATGTCCAGTGCTATTTCGTATGAGGACAGCGCTTTCGAATAATCTCCCATGCGGTCATACGCATTGCCGATGTCGTTGTAGGAAGTGGCCACATCAGGATGATTAGCTGGAAGAATTTTCTTCTTCATGTCCAGTGATTTTTGGTAGAAAATCAGTGCTTCTATGTATTCACCTTGGCTATCTTTAACAAGACCTAACTGATGATTGTAGGTTGCGAGTTCTCCGTCATTCGCCGTCTGCGAGATTAAGGTAGTGTACAGCTCTTCTGCCTTCTCCAAGCTTCCCACTTGAATAAGTAATCTTCCGATACGGTGCCATCCGTTGCACTCTTGCATGTCCTCGGCGAATCGCTGGGTGAGAATGCGCAACTGTTTGTCGTCATCAGTCGTCAGAACCAGCTGCACTTCAAACAAACGCTCACTTTCGTCTATCTGAGTGATACTGCTAATTCTGAACACCGTATGCATGCTGAAGAGGATCTCCGCTTCAGTCGGCATAGCGCTTTGCTTCTGGATCTGAGCGAATGACGTCAGCGTCACTTTAGGATCGACCGTCATGGTAAACAGCACTCCCACGTTGTCGTTGTTCGCCAATGCACGTTGGGCGAATTCCAGCGATATCTTCTTATCTTCACTGGTGGATAGAAAACAGTTGAACGAGATCAGCCCACCTTCAGTTCTTTTCATTTTCTCGAAGTCAGTGATGGGCCACCCTTGTCCTCGATAGAGAACAAAAGGCTTTCCATTGTATCGACTGACTTGCTCTGCGTGCAGTTTTTGCAATTGTCGATGAAGATCGTGGAGAAAGAAGCCCATGTTCACCATGATGTCCGCTTCCAGAAGTCGAAGAGCGCGATTGAGCATTTGGTAAGTGAAACATTCGCGAGTGTACCACCAGATCGCTCTCTCAGGACGATAATCTCGACCGAATTCTTGAATCAGTGCCAGTTCAGCCGTGTTTCCAGCATATTTGTCTTGGCAAAATCTCACCAGATCTCGTACTGACTTTTGCTCATGTTTCATCTCGAGTAGCGCATTCTTGAGCAACTGAGTATACATGAATGCAGGTTCCAACTCATTGAGATTGGTAGCAGAGGCGCTTCCTTCTTGCACTACAGCAAAGCTGGCAGCTATGGAGTCTCGATTGCATTGCCGAACGGCTAACTGAAGATCCCCGCAAATCTGCTCGATGTTTGTGTGGACACCCTTGATTTTCGGCCATGCTCTTGCCCATTCTTTGTGTCGAGATTCGTCACGACAGAAGATATAGATGGCATCTACCTGCTTCATCGGCTGTAGTGCGGGCACGATCTTTTCGCCCAGGGAACCTGATACGATAATGAAGGCCTTTTCCGTCTGCACTTCGGCAAGAAAGGCAACACACTCGTCTGGATCAGTGAAGAGGTGAATGTCATTGACGACACTACGCAGTTTTTGTAATGTGTGTTGCGAATCATCGTTTGATGATGTGACGTTGGCATCCAGCCAGATGAGAAGAAAGTTTTGCACGATCCGTGGTCGATCAGGTTTGGAAGGCACTTTTGTCGAAGTTGTCGAGTACGAATTGTCGTGGTGCTTTGTCTTGTGGATCTTCTGTCCCATGTCAGTGAAATTATCTGAAATTGCATAGAGTAACAGACCCGTATTCGTGTACCAGAAGACATTCTATTTCGCTGGCTACGACTCTTAGAGTATGGTGGAAAGTATTTCTCGTAATCAGATAGGTGGGAGATCTCTGTTCTAGTCTAGACGCATGGATCGAGAAAGAACTCGCATTTATTCGTGCGTTTCAAATTCAGCACGAATCGGAGAGACGAGCATTTGCGGAAGATCTAGAATGGAGCTCGGAAATACGACCAAGCTGCAGAGGCATGAAAGGTACTGAAGACATGAAGTTAATGTTTGCTGTACAGTAGCCATATTTCGACTAGAAAAATACAGAGAAAAAGAAAAGCATTCGGGTGTGTCTATCTCCTTTCAGGTCTCTACCCGTCGTGTTCGCTCGTCTTCATCTGTGCAGTCTGCATACGACGAAGCATGTACTCACTCTCGTCGTCAAAAACGTCACTGAATAGTGAAACCAATTTTTGTTTGTCACCTGCAATCTGTCGCTTTCTGTCTCTTCATTTCGAGAGAACGACAAAGCTATGCTCGTTTTACGATAAATGGCTGCATGCTTGACTGGATTCTTCGATCACATGTCCCTCGTCGTTGAATTGCGCCGGTGCTTCATCTGATTGTGGACAGTTTCCTACAACTAACACATTCTCCTTCACATCGTGCTCGTTGATCGCAGATTTTAGCCGACTCTCGTCCCGATGTTCTACCGATCATGAGTAATGAAATGAACAGCAGCGATCAAAGTGCAAGCTGACCGAATCCACGTTCTACTTCTTCTCTTGATCAGCTAGCCTCGATCTGCCTTCTCACTGGACGATTCTATTTAAATGCAGGAGTTAGAGATATAACTTTGCTTCAATTCACCCCGAGGATTACTCATAAAAAAGATGCAACCATTGCAGAACTGTTCAATATCGTTGATCATTCAACTACTATTCGCATTAATCGCACCTCGGACTGGAGCGTGTCGGTGAGAAGGAACTTCTAACTGAAGAGGGCTGCGGCATATCCTGCGTCTGTACATACCACGCTTTTCTAAGAAACCTCTGTATAAACACCTATTTTCACATGAACAACATGCTAATTCGTTGAATAGAAGTCTGTCTAAAGCAAGCATTCAATACCGTTGCTCGATACATATGTTGCGTTGCTATAGGCATGGTATATAGCTGCTGATCTTAAATACCGGTCCTATATTCGACCTCATGTTTCTATTGCAAGTCGGATGGCTTCCATTCGTTGCTGATCATAAGCCAGGCATGTACTTCGCTCCGATTCGTTTCGTTTTATCTAGCTGACACTTTGCCTAGACGATCATCAGCAAGACGTTGAAGTCTTTGTTGCTCATTTTCTTTAGCCCTTTCTTGGTGCTTTCTTTCTGCATCGAAGTTCCGTGGAGCCGGTTGTGGTTCATTTGAAGATGACGGGAATGTTGCATTTGTGTTGGCAACCCTTTGAGCGGGAGGCGGTGGTGAAAAATTCGGCACTCGCACAAATGTTGCCTGGTTGTTTTTTGTCGTTGCCTTTCTCGGACTCTAAACACAGTTATCACAAAGGTACAAGCTTAAGAGATCGTGCATTGGATGTCTACCTCTAAGATTGAGGAGATTTCCTGTGTTGGTGAGGTTTGAAAGCGTTGTTGAGGCTGAACCAGTGGTGCAAAATGATTCGGACTCCAGACACCACCACTGCGAGGACAAGCTTTCGCCGACAATTCATCCATAGTATTTGTCCAAAAAATGAACACTCGACCACGAACTGGCATAGACGCCAGCACTGGCTTGTACGGGCTGTTCATGATCTTCATTTCGGCACGATAATCAATGTAGGGATAAATACTGTGTATCTCACACTGCACAACACTGGCAAGTGCTGCGATTTCGTACAATTCCGAGAATTCATCGTTGTGGCACGCTCTAGAAATTGCATTCTTCAAAGGACCGATAAGATTGCTGTATTTAGTAGCATAATAGACCCTGTTTGTGACGAGTTCGACCACCGTTCGGACTTTGAAAAGAAAGCACATATTGTTGCATAAATACATCTGGAAGTAGGTTAAGAATCTGACAAACCTCTTAGTTCAACGGCCGATACACAAGAATTCGGCAAAAGACATACAATCGAATGGAAGAGACAATTTCCATCAGCCAAAGTTTCGATTGGGACCAAGTGCTGAACACATTTGCTCGCTTTCGCAAGGTATTGCTGTGCCACATGGTCGATTTTGTGTTTCCCTTCGTCAAATTCGATGAGCGGGGTCAATGTAAGAGGGGCCATTAGCTGTTGGTACTGAAAGAATGCCATTATTATTGTGTATCAGAGGGAAGCTAGCTAAGTACTTACAGGCACTGTGCAAATGGTATTCACCACTGCAGTTATCTGACTCGCATAATCAGACGCTTTCGATGCTGTTGCTAGCAATTGAAGAAGTTGCGTAAACTTCTGTCTTCGCTGACAAGTGTCACTGTTACAAAATTGAGCATCACAATTGGACGAGCCGATCAACCAGGTGGGATCACTAGCAGAAGTCGAAGTGGCCATGATAAAATATCTGGAAAAGCAGAAACGTAAAAGTCAGCAAGATGTTTCGGACATCGAAGATCTTCTATCGATTCTAACTTCGGAATTGGTTTCGTCTGCGCGATGCTGAATGAGAATGTGTCTTACTTGATAGGATGATTGAATGAGTTGGAATGATTTGAATTATCATACTTCATCCTTTTCGCGAGTCTCTTGTTCTCTCTTTTTTCTCCTTTCCTCTCTCTCCTATATTCCGTTTTCCCCATTTTTGTCTCTGATCTTTTACCCATTTCTCCCTAATCTCATTCCTGAAGCTTCTTGGATTTTTCCTATCAGGATCTTACAAGATCCTAAATCTCTAGGACCGTGCCCAGTTTTATGCAAGATCCTACAGATTTCTTGTGTCATCCTGTTGCTAGGAACTAGACAAGGAATGAACAGATTTGGTCAAGATCCTATATGTTTTCTTAACATTTCCTGACACTAAGAATCCACCCAGAAATATGCAATATCTTGTATGGGATCTTATCAAGATACGATTCACCATTTATTCCAGAGGAGTTCTTACAAGATCCTATAGGATCTTGGTCAGATAAAATAGTGTAAAATTCTGCAGTATTCTGTCCGATCTGGATACAAGATCTGGACAGGATCCTGTCATAATCCTAATTAAACTTGAAAATATTTGGTCGCAAGTTCCAATCAAGTTTTTGATAGGATCCTATTCGCACTTCTAGCACAATCTTGTTCTGATCTTGTCAGCAAGAAAGCAGGACCTTGACAGGAAGACTTGAAGATTCTCAGGAGGACTACCGTAAGTATCACGTTCTCAGTGAGGATCTTGAAGTTTTATTGTTTGGATTTTGATTGTTCTTGTTAAGATCTGACCCAGTTTGCGATAAAATATCTGAAACGATCCTATCGAACTTGACGGGCATCTCTAGTCAAAACCTTTTAGTTGTTGTTAGGATCTTCTTAAGACTCTATTCTCTGGGGTCTTGTCAGGATTCTACAATACATAAAAGTAGCATTTTTGGTCATAGTGCTGTCAATTTTTGACACAATTCTCGTTAAGATATTCTAGGATCCTAAACGTATGCCTTCTAGTTTTCATCATTGATCATAAATAACTTGAAGTGGAAGGGAAACGGTGATCCGATTCACATGTATCTTGTCAACTGATTCTGATTAATGGTTTGACATTGTTAATTTCGCCTTAACACGCTGAATGAAATATTACGTTGTCAAACTAGCACCGGTCGTTTTGTTCGTACCCGCTGCCGGATAAGCCACGGGAACTTTGCAGAAATCCACGGACTCCGTAAAAAACATTTCTTTCTGAGGGAAAATGTCATGTTTGAGGACAATATTTGGATGAAAATCCACGAAGCACCCCACTTCATGTGATTACATGGTTTCTACCGCACTGGCATTGCATAGTCTTTGAACAGAAGAAGAATTGGATTGTGTTCAAGTCTTTGCACACAAGTGTATCGAGTGCGGAAGCACCTGGTCTTTCTAGGAGAGAAAGGACATGCTATTGTATCGCAGTTGTCTAAAGCGTCCATCGTCAAAATCGAAGTAAGTGTGTTCAAATCTAGCTCACAGAACTCATAATAATAAGAAATCCTGGTAAGATCCTCAACAGAATTGCAAGGCTGGATCCTAAACAGAATAGCGTAAGAATTATCTAGGAATCTGGGAGCCTAAAAAATTATTTTTTATAAAAACAAAGTACTTTAGGATCCTATAATATCTTACGTAGGATTTGATCTAAACTTGTTAGGAACTTGTGACCAAAAACTTTTAAGTTTTGATAGGATTATCAGGAGATCCTGACAAGATCTGGAGATAAGATCCTACGGAAATCTTAACAAAACTTGAAAATTTTTGGTCACAAGTCCTTATCAAGTTTTGCTAGGATCCTATCGACTTTCCAGCGCAATCTTGTTCAGATCTTGACAGAGAAATAGTAGTATCTTGATAAGAAAACTCTAAGAATTTCATTAGGGCTCCCTTCGTCTTGCCCCCGTCTTATCTCTATCGTGAATTTTTTGTTTACTTTATGAAATCCTTATCAGTACGTCTTTTCGGATTGGGATGGTATCGTTTGGAGCACATCCCTGAAATATCGTGATGTAACAAATTTAATGCATACTTCTCACTCTCAGTCAGCTGCGATTCCATGTTGAGTAGTCATGAACGCTTTGAAATTCCAGTAGCACTGGCGAAATTGATGAGTCTATTTTTCCTGATGATTGATCTCCTGGGAAGTGCACTGTTAATCACCAGGCGTATTTCCATGTGACGAACAACGCGCTACTCATTTTCAACAATCGAAGTCATTCTTTATTCGTTCTTAGCCTTTCCCATTTCTTCTCTTACACCAGCAATATTTATCTTTGTGAACATCCGTGGTTCTAGTAGAGAGTACAATCCTTCCTTTTGCAGTTTGGTTTGGATTCAACCAACAAAGCGTGGGTCATCGATTTTTGTGAAGCTTTCAAGATCTATTTTTATTCTCTGTCACTGGAGCCGATTGGAAAGAAAGCCACTTTATTCATTGTTATTTTGATGATTGAGGTATCCAAAGACATTTGGAACGAGAATGCTCTCGCATATGCAACTGCACATCTCATAGACGAGCGAAACAATGCTGATCATTTCAAGCTGAAATCAATGTTTTTTACCAACACACATCGTCCACAGTGATTTCCAAGTAGATCTTGATGAGCCAGAACTATCTTCTGAGCATTATGACGTTATTTGTTGGTTGGAAGCCAAGCCGAGCCTAATCGGCATATCATGATTGTTTAGTAAATTGGTCTACTGTATTCAGTTGTCGCCAGTAACTGTCACCCCGAACTGCGTCAGTGATCACTACGTGATTGTATGATAAGCGAACACCACACATTCTTCTCGTTTGTCCTTCTGTAAGAGTCATCCAGACCCCGATGACATTTCAGGATAGTTGTTGCCTACTCCTATCTATTGGTTACAGAATCGATATTTGCTTTATCTTTCTCTCCTTGGAAGGAAATCATTTGCTCATCCTCAATGATCATCTCGCATGTTTTTGCAGCCGAAGTTTCAACTATTGCTTATTAATCTTTGATGAGGTCCGCGCGTTCGATTTTCGAGTCGAGTCTCACAGAAATTCATAGAATGTAGAGCGTATTTCTTTCTTTAAACCACGTAGCACTGGAGGTTTCTACAGTCAGCTACAGATACCCTGTTTTGCGTTTTGTTCCGATCTTTTTCAATGTGATCATACTTCTTCGAAGTTATCCAACCTCAATTTCTCTGCAATTCTAGGAATATCTTGCTTCAAGAAAATAGCTGCTTGTGTTGAAGGAAGGATTTTGCTAAGTCGAAACAAACGATAGCGTTTCAACCATAACTTTTGAACACTCGGTGGGTTCAGTTGGTAAATGCTTCACACAATAAAACAACTATTGCATAAATCTACGTTTTCAAAAGTAAATCTTGTCATCGAAAATAGGATTTGGTTATTGTTTTGCAGTCACAAGTTATTTGGAAATCCAAATCCAAAGAAAACAGTCCTACATTCGAAGCTCTGGTGCTCAAAGGGTTGAAGCGCTTCACTACAACGACTGACACTTTGTGTATCCGGCAAAAGAGTACTATTTTACTTGAGTAATATTCTTTCACAAAACATTTTGAGCCAATTTTGGGTCTCACAAACTTTTGAAAGCAGTTTTCGATGTATCTCGATGCACTCTTTCCGATGAGACTAACCGCGAGATGATCCCGCGCGTTGATCTCACTGAACTGCCTGATCTAGGTGGCTATGCCTTCCTCGGCTGGTAGCAGGTGTCAAGCGAAATAAATCGACAATGAAGCACTTTCAATGGTACGAGAAGATAGCTCATAGTCGATAGGGTATACGGAGGAGAAAAATCTCTGCTTCAGCTCACACTGCTCGTCTGAAATTCGCAATCCATTGAAAGGTGTGGGTGAAAAACACGCAAAAAATGAACCTCAGTATCCCTATTTGCAAGTGGCGCATCTCTACAACAGAACATCCGTTCGAGATGAATCTGTCAGGTTATTCTCTAGTCAGGTGTATGTGTCTCCTGTAGGGAAACCAACCAAATCAGTGAGATCGATTTAATAACGTTCTGCTATCGCGGGTCGTGGCTTAGTTGCAACACCTTGTAGGTAGGAGCAAGGGCATGCAGTGGTTGAGACAGAGAATAGAGATCGAACACGCACTATTTTGAA